TTTTGCAGAAGCAGCATACAATAATTCTCTACATAGTAGTACTGAGTTCACCCCATTCAAAATAGCAATGGGAGTGGATTTTGTGCAACGCCAGAGCTACTGAGGAAATCTCCCTCCTTGTTATCAGCTGATTGGATGGATAACCTGAAAACTACATGGGGGGAGGTTCACAAGGCATTGGACAAGACTAGCGAATCACGTAAGAGGCAATCTGATCAGAAGAGGGATCCCCAAGGATTGGGGATCAGTGTACCTGTCTATTAAGTATCTCAAGTTGAGGCAGCCTTGTAAAAAACTGAGTCCTAAGTACATAGGACCTTTCTCAATTGTGAAAATCATTAATTCAGTAACTGTTGAACTGCTGAACTATGGTTGCCAAAAGAATTGAGTCCACCCAAGTGAGTCCACCCACTGTGCATTGCAGCTTGTTGAAACCATTCAAAAGATCTAGCTTAAAACCAGGTGGAGAGGAACCTCCTCCTCCTATATTGGTGGAGGGTGAGAAACATTATGAGAAGAAAATACTAACTCAAGGATTTTTAGGGGGAAGTTACAATACTTAGTCTAATAGAGAGGGTACCCCTTAGCTGATGCTGAATGGGTAAGAGCTCGTAACATTAAGGCTGACAGATTAATTAGAAAGTTTCATGATAAATACTGTCAACATCCAAGAGGATGATGTTTGAATGTTTGGTTAATTGTGCTTACTGTTTTCCTATGTTTACCCTTCTTTCAGGGGGACAGCATGTCAAGGTTGAATTGATAAGATACCTGCTAACTTCTATCGCTACTCAACTTGCCATAGAAACAAGGGGAAGGGGTAGAAAGCATGGGGAGGAAAGGGAATTTAAGATGGCTGTCCATTGACTGTGAAAGCCTACAAGAATGCCAAGATCACTAACACAGGTGTCTGACTGACAAATGGACCATTTTCATAACAAACCAAAGACGTATGATTGGGCAATACGAACACTCGGTGGGTGGGGGTTAAGGGAAGCTATTGTTAACTAGGCAGATTTTTGCGTGGAAAAACCAGAGCTGGTTTTGCTTCTTCAGTTCCGAGATGTGTATTCAATAAAGTTTATCCTTTATGATACTTCAAAGCCTTGAAGTTCCTTGATTTTGAGTTCATTAGCTGGACAGTTGACAAACTCTATTTAATGACAGAGGCAGCAAAATTGCCACTTATTATAAAGATAAGATTATAATATTCTGGGTTTTTTTATTAACACTAAGATGCTTTAAGGGTTCAAATAGAAATATGAAACACAAGTGTAAAGGAATAACAATAGTAGAAACAATAGTACATTTAGGGGACATCCTGAATTTCTAAGATTACTTACCTATACAGTGTCAAAATTCAATATTCAGGTTCTAGGATGAATTATTGAAAGCATTGATTGTGTTTATTCTATTTAGAGAGAAGATAAAGGGAGACATAAAGGCTATCTTGAAATATCTGAAAAACTTCCATGAGGACAATGGAACAATTTTGTTCTATGGTAATTGAAAAACCAAACTTGAAACCAATGAGTGGAAAATGTATGGAATATGATGAGGACCATATATTAGCAAGCACTTCCTATTGATATTAGTAGTTACTCGACAGTGAAATGGCCCAGATAGTTGTATACTTCTTATTTACCTGTGATGGTCCAGATTTAAGCTCTACATAATTACTTTTTAAAAAAAGGAAAAGCAGGAAGAATTTGTTTCTTTGAAAATATCACCTGTTAAAAAAAAGGCAACTTTTTAAATGCCCATGTCTCGAATCCTATCACTGAAACACTTATCTGGGACCAAAAAGCAATCTTCAAATATTCCTCACAAAATTGCATCTCTGTGCTTTTAACCATAATTCCATTGGGTTTTGACTTGCACATGGATAATTAGAAAGACATATATGGGTATGCTGAAGGACCAATGTTGGAGAATGTATCTGTAATCAAGGCTAACCTTTCAACTTTAGAGAGAGTCCTCCAAGAAAGAACTCTACCACAATTATTCCCCTAATGCAGAGGTGAACAATCTGAAGCCCTAGTTTGAAAGAGGACCATAGTTTCATTTCATGTGGGTTTTTTTTGGCCTGACAACAATAAATTCTGACTTGTCAGCAACCTGAGGAGAGACGGGGCAGGGGAAGAGAAAACAAGCATAGAAATAAAAAGAAATAAAAAGGAGTGATCAGAAGAGCATAAAGAGATATTCAAAAAAAAAAAAAACCAATGCAAAGCCTACCTAACCACTTCTACTTTTGTCCCCACCCAAACAGTGAGAATGTAAATGATCACATGATGATCAGATATCCACAAGAGAAATGTTTCCATTCCTCCAGAGAGGAAAAGTTGTCCAGAATACTAAACGTGGCACATATCCACATGAGATATGTTACCATCTTGTGCCAAAACCTTGGTCCAATCCTGTCTGGAATCCAGAATGGCCCTTGAAGCAAGGGGAGATTATAGACGATCATATATGGCTGCAGATAAATGTTCCAGGAGAATGGCAAACTGAAAATAGCAAGCAGTCTCTTAAGAGTGAAGAGTTGGAAAGAAGTTAAGCTATGCAAACTCTCTCTTAACCTTTATTTAAAAGAGTCATACCAGCAGTAATATATTAACCATTTATTAAGCTACTCTGCCTCTCAACTGCAGTTCAACTTCCTTCTCAGAATTCTTGGTCAAGCATGTTTGGAACAGTACCAGATTTTATAAATCATGGCATTACAGCAGCACTAATTAGGGCAGGCATGCAATTGACAATAGATGGCTCTGTCTTGAAGCAAGAGCATACACAATGAAAAGAAGGCTAACAAATGTGAAAGCCTGCATGAAAAAGGACTCTGAGGAATCCTTGGTGCTTTCTGAGTTTGCTTGTTTTCTTGCAGACGTTTCATTATCCTAACTAGGTGACATCATCAGTGCTAGTCAGGAGTGCTGTTTGTTGTCAGTTTATATTCTGTGTCTTGCCTGTCTGTGTGGGTGGGGCGGTCTTAGGGATTCTTTGCCTGGGCTGTTTACTAATGGCTCTTTAGCAGTTTCTTGATTGGGGTATTGCTTACTTGATTGTTGATCTGAAGTTGACCTTGGAACTACTGTAATCTATGCTGATCTGAGTACTGATTACTGGTGGAGAGGTGCTGGAGTCTTTTTCTATTTGGGGCTAGTTGATTATCTCTTTTGCATGGTCTAAAGATGTTGTTAATGTCTATGTTCTATTGATGGCTGATTTGTCAGAGTGCCAGGATTCTAGAAATTCCCTGACAGTTTTGGATTTGGCCTGATCTAGGATTGTCACATTTTCCCAATTGAAACTATGGTTAAATCTGTCTTTTGTTGTTAGTTGTTAAGTCGTGTCTGACCCATCGCGACCCCATGGACAACGTTCCTCCAGGCTTTCCTGTCCTCTACCATCTTCTGGAGTCCATTTAAGTTCACGCCTACTGCTTCAGTGATTCCATCCAGCCACCTCGTTCTCTGTCATCCCCTTCTTCTATTGCCCTCAATCTTTCCCAGCATTAGGCTCTTCTCCAATGAGTCCTTTCTTATGTTGTAAAATTAAAGAATTTTTGTCATGCCTTTTGACTGCCCGTTGCTGTTTATGGATGCTGCTAGGTGCATCTTTGAGGTGCACGCTAATCTCTTTGCTTATAGTAGTGGTAGAGCTTGCAAGAAAAGGAAAAGAAGCTACAGTACTTACCATATTCCCCTCCCTAGGATTTTGTTTGAAGTTTTCAACCAAACTTTATAGGTTTCTGGCAACATAATGTTAATTGTTTTAATGGGAAATATTCCTGAACAAACCAAACTTCAAATCTACTTAACAAGAGGCAGTAAGTGGAGAGCAGAAAACAGCCATTTGTTCGAAATATATGTTTATTTCTGTTTAGAAAAGCCAGATGTGGTGGAATTAATTCTGTATTACCTATTTTACCTTGAAGTAAAGATAGGGTATGTATGGTCCTTCAGTTGTTGCTGGAGCTTCCCAGCACTGTTCACAATTGGCTATACTGGCTAGAGACAATGATATTAGAAATTGTGGTTCAGGAACATCTGCCGGGCCACAGAATCTCCATTCTCTCCTAAAGAAGTGATTAATCACATGCATATGAACTCTCACAACATTTGCTAGGGATCACAAATTTATAAGATAGCTTGGGGGCAGTGTTGCTGAACTTTAAAAAAGGACAACATTTTGGATATTAATGCTACAAATTCTGAACAGAAAAACTATATTGTTCAGTTCTGCAGTATTTCTATTTCAGATGCTTTTGTTTGCCTCTAATCATGGGAGAGGAAATGCATTTACTTTCTATTTTCAACTGTTTAAAACTGACATTGCCTCTCCTTAGAACTTGATTGGATAGATACTGGGGAATTGGGAAATGGCTAGTCACAGCTCTTCTGGAGCAGCTTTTGTTTACTAGAGGAAAGTATGAGCAATACCATTAACTATTGCTGTGGTCCTGTCATCATGCATGAGTCTACAAGAACTTATTTTAGTATGAAGCAGAATCCCTGCCTCAAATGAGCGTTTTCTCTCTGTGTGTCTCTGTCTCTCTCTCCTGTCTCTGTCTGTCAGTCTGTCTATCTGCATACTTTCTCTTTCTCTCACACACATGTATACACATACATAAACACACACACAGACACTGCAACACTGTCATAGGAACATGGAATTCTGCACACCAGGGACAGCCTCCTTTGTTCACAAGAATGCCTCTGCTTCATTTAAAAGTGTGCTTGCCTGACTATGCTAGAGTGTATGGGGATGAATATGAAGAGGCTAGAGAAAACAGTAGAAATACTCTTGCTCATTTGTTTGCTGGTGGCGATTTATATAAAATGTAAACTTTTCCATGGCACATGCCCATCCCTCCCCAAAGGTTGTTGTGCCCATTATCTTTCTATTACCGGTATTAATCAGCAAGACTCCCCCTAAATACACTGGTTATTGGGAACAAAAGTCAACAAAACACTTTAAAGAGACAAGTTACATACCAAAATGTCCAAGCAAGCAGCCTTAAGTAGTGTGATCTGGTCTGCAATTGTCAAACTTGTGAAACCAGGCAATCGTTTTGCAAATTCCACTATTTTAATAATGCACTTTGTTGCAAGTTCACTGAATTTGTCCCAAAGCCCAAGGTCCAGACGAACTCTATGGTCCGCACTAGAGTTCTAAAAAGAATAAAATGAATCAATTGCTGTGACAAAATGTAGCTGAAACAAAGACTTTCTAAAAGCAACTTATCTTAACAATTTCAGTATCAGTGAGATTTGCAGTTGAAATTCTTTTGTTTTTTAACCTTGTCTAGTCTTTCCTTATATACTTTTCTTATACTTATGATTAAAGGCTCTATCTTTCTAACAGATAATAAATGACAGCATTTCTAAAGGCTACTGATCTCTTTTTCTCATTAGGTATATAGTGTCTACACTGAAAATCCACCCTTTGCTGTCAGAACTGAGTAATTAATTATGTGTAACTAGAAGAATGGTTTCCATGTGTGGGAAAAACAACTTTATTTTGCAGAGTACACTCTCCATGCAATGTGACCCCTTTTCACATGCTTATGGGTTCAGCAAATTAGTAGTACAAGTTAGCCTTTTTCTCCTATGGCTCAACAAGCTTTTACATCGCTGAAAAAAATATATTTATTATGAACAAGAGAAGAACCATTTGTTAGGCAGAGGAAAACAATTAGAAATTCCTTGTCCTTTCTCCTTGCCAAATATGGCATTTGATAATAATCTTTTCTACTCTGGGTTCAAACTTCTTCAACTACAAACAGTTGTCCACTGAGAAAATATATGCTAGTTCTTTACTTAGTACTGTGCCATATGTTGGTGCAAGTTGTATCCAGTTGAATTTAAATCAAGGATGCATAATCAAGAAGAGGGAGAGCATAGTGGGGGACATATCTCCCTAAGTGGATGAGGCTAGAACAAAAGCCAAATCTGATTTACACACATTAAAATTTAATTGTAATGAAAATTAAATCAAGTAATCACAGTCAATAGAGTTATTCTCCAATATATATTTCCCATTTGATTAAATTAAAGTATACAATTTGACAGCAAGTTTTGAGAAGGCTCTATAGCAGTCACATCCAAAGCTATATAAACTATATTGCCCTGGGGCTCAGTCTGTGCTATAAATGTTGAACAACTGGGTAATATACACAAGCAGCATCTTGTGAAGAATATTACAGTTTTGTGATCTATCTAGAGATTGTCTGCACCTGCACCTGCAAAAAAAAAAACAGAATAGCTCCTAAATTTAACTAAAGTCAGTTAAAACAAAAATATATTGTTTTTGAAAATGAATTATTATGGAAATGAACCTAACGAGTGGGGAGGACTGATACAACCAAACTGTTGGAACAGGGAGAAAAATATAACTGAATCATACTTTGAGGGGTCCAAGACAGCATGGTCAGCAGTGAAGGATGTTGGGATTGTTTTTACCACATCTGCTCCTAAAGTACTGAGGTAAAGAGGAACTTGTGTAACTACTCCTAAAATGCAGCACAAGATTCCTGTCTATCATTACTGTTTACATATAGAGCAAGGGTCCCCAACCTTTTGGGCAGAAGGGACCAGTTTCATAGAAGACAACTTTTCCACAGACTGAGGGGAGATGGTTTTGGTTTTGCTCACTTGGCTGTCACTCACCTCCAGCTGTGAGGCCTGGTTTTAACAGGCTATGGACTGGTATAGGTCTGTGGCCCGGGATTGTGGACCCCTGAGCATTCAATATAGTGAAAGACTAGGAATGTCACAACTGCCCCTTAGAGATAGCACAGGATTGGCACAGGAGTGCACCAATTACAAATACCTGAAGAATAAAAATTGTGATCAAACTGAGGTTTGAGAGAATTGGAAAAGATACAAATTCAACTAATGATGAACCACAGTCTGAAATGCAAGAACTATTTTAAAACAGAAAATTTCTATATTTGTTCTATTTTATGTTCTGGTTATATATAAACTCTTTTTCTGTGTGTTTACTTTTCTATATTCCTTATGCTGGTCTTTTGACCATAACAATAAACTACACTGCACTGCATTACACTAAGGTAAATTGAGAGAGAGTCCATGTATAAGCTATCTCTTAGATCAGTGGTGGCGAACCTATGGCCCGGGTGCAAAAAAAAAAAAGGTTCAATCAATCAGTCAATTTCAACTTCTTGTGGGAAAAAAAATCTTGCAAAGTTGGAATTGATTGATTGAACTTTTTAGTCCCACCCAGTCTGCCGTTACCACCGCAGCCACGTCCACCCAATGGGCCACGCCCAGCCAATGGGCCACACCCAGCCAATGGGCCACACCCAGCCGCTACCCGACAATGCATAAGTGGGTTTTGGGTTGCAGTTTGGGCACTCGTTCTCTAAAAGGTTCGCCATCACTGTCTTAGATTCCCCCCCCTCATTTTTAAACATAACCAAAACAATTTGTCATTTGCAGGAAACATAGATGACACCTTTCTAAAAGGTAAAATAAAATGGTACTAAACACATTTCACTTCTACAGTTTCCTACATATATTGTGCAGAGAGTTGAATTCCAATATTGGATCTTATCCAGCAGATTGTATTCTAAAGGAGCAACATGACACCTGGGATGGGAGGAGTTAATAGGTTTTGTTTTGCTGACTGACATATTCCCATCTCAGGACTCTGCATCTTATAAGTATGAAAGATTTACTTTATATCCTCAAGGACTTTGGTGAAATGTTGTATATGGGGGGTAGTAGAGATAAGATCAAGATATGTAGTCATTTGGGCTGTAATTAAATACAATAGCCAGTTTATATCCACTTTCCTAGAAAAAGGGCAATGGAGACATGAACAAAGCAGAGCCTAGAGCTTAATATTTATTCCACAGTAGGGCATCCATATGGAAACAAGTTGCTGCAGGAAACCAACTAGTGTGAACGAAATCTTCAGCAGGATCTTACCAGCGCTCTTTATCATGATTCCTATCACCCATGCAAGAAAGTTGGATGCATTTGTATCTGAGCCAATGTCTAGCAGCTCTAACAAAGCATAAATCAAATTTGACTATTATGCAAACTGAAGAGAAAAAGCTGTGAATAAAGCATGAAGTTAGATTGTTGTTTTTACTGCCCTGTTAAGTCAAGAGAGACTCCAACTGAAAATGGCTAGATGCCTCATAACTATGGGAGCTTTAGCCAGAAAACATTTGTGGCTTTCATTTGGTAATGGGCATTGAAAAGTATATCTAGAAACAAATACATTTTTAGCAATTTCTCTCCATACCAAATGATAAAATCAAATCAGCAATGACATGCCGAGTCAAGTGATGATGCTGGCTTAATATTAAAAAGGAGATCCTTCTCTAAGGATACTGAGAACTATCAAGCTGAAGGGTCTAGCTTGGTGTTATGTACAATGTATATATCAGGTGTCTTTGCTGAAAGCATTCTTGAACACAACTTAAGGATCCTGCTACCCATAATGCCATAATGATGAACATATGATAGGATAAAGCTGGAAAGCACTCTAGTTCTGTTTTTATCAGCAGAAAAGCACAAGCCTATTGTACTGCTATTTGATATTTAGATTTCTTATTTATTTTAATTTTTCATTTAAGTAGGTTCCCTGGTTTTTTGCCACTATTTGCTGAACCTCTTACTAAAAAGAGAAAGACAGAGAGATCACAAAAATTTGCAAGGAGGAAAAAAAACACACCACAATGCACAAGAAAAAAAACTTTCTTTATTTGCAGATTTTTAAAATGCTGCCTTTATTACGTTATACGTATCTCAAGGCATTGAAAATACATAAAGTCCTTCCCCCCTTTTTTTGCACAACCCTATGAGGTGAGATGAGCTGAGAGAATGAGTGGTCCAAAGTCACCCAGCAGCTTTCATAACTAAGATAGGACTAGAATTCACAGTTTCCTGGTTTCTATTTTGGTGCATTAATTATTAGACCAAACTGGCTTTTCTTTAATGATTTCCACTTGCCCAATGAAACACGCTGAGATTTAGATAAAAGGAGATGCAAATTTTTGAATCTGTAAGCTGAGCTAGAGCAGCCTTTTTTAAACTGGGAATAGCGTGATGAGTAGGGCTGAAACAAGACATAAATAGGGTCAGAGCCCAAAAAAAGCACACCCATTCTCCAACAACTCTCTGTCTCATTTATTTTTAAATAAGGCCATCAATCCTTGTTATGTGGTATATAAGATTCTTGACTTCCAGACTTCCTTCAAGAAAAAAAGGTGAATATTGGTAATAGAAGATTCAATTCCTAGGGCAGTGATAGCGAACCTTTTAGAGACTGAGTGCCCAAACTGCAACCCAAAGACCACTTATGTATCATCGGGTGCCGGGTGGGCGTGGCCCATTGGGTGGGTGTGGCCCATTGGGTGGGCGTGGCTTCTGTGGTAACGGCAGACGGGGTGGGACTAAAAAGTTCAATCAATTCCAACTTTGCGAGATCTTTTTTTTCCCGCGAGAAGTTGAAATTGATTGATTGATTGAACCTTTTTTTTTGCACACGGCGGCGGAGGCCTAAAGTGAAAAGGTTTTATAAAAGCAAGCTGAAGGCCTAGGACTGGAGCAACGGTGCGCGTACCCACAGAGAGGGCTCTGTGTGCCACCTGTGGCACGCGTGCCATAGGTTTGTCACCACAGTTCTAGGGGATAATAAATAAATAATAAAATAATAAAATAAAAATTAATAAATAAGACCAATCTTATTTCATTCTTTGACAAACTGACTAAATTAGACCAGCAAAATGCTGTGGACATACGGTAGTATACTTAGAATTCAGCAAGGCATTTACTTCTTGGTAAACTAGAAAAATGTGGGATAGACAGCATCACCACCAGATGGATTTGTAACTGGCTGACAAGCCGTACTTAACAAGGAGTCCTTAATGGTACTACATCTACATAGAGAGAAGTAAGCCGTGGGTACCACAAGGTTCCGTCCTAGGCCCAGTACTCTTCAATATCTTTATACATCTTAGATGAGGAAATATAAAAGGAACTCATCAAATTTGCAGATGACACTAAGCTGGCAGGAATAGGCAACACTCCAGAAGACAAGCTCAGGATCCAAAAAGATCTTGACAGACTTGAACAATGGGCCCAACCCAACAACATGAAATTTAATGTTGCGGAAGTGACGGAGCACCAGGTGTATG